TTTCAGGGCAGTTTTGGCCTTGTTGTTGGGAAATCAACTAGGCCTTCTAGGCTTGCTTCCTCCGCCCCGCCCCCAAATTACCTAGTCCCAGTCTTTTCCTGTGAAAAAGCGCTGAATATTAAAAATATAAATAAGACTAGAAGGCCTAGGTCTAGGCTGCCTAATGGCTATATAGCACGAAAGATTCCATACACTAAATTATTCCCTTTTAGGATGCGCCAGTTTTATATTTATAAACAACAAGTTGATCTTCTGCTGACATAGCCAGCGTGGCCGGCTCTTATAAAAGAGCCGGCCACGCTGGCTACTGCTGACATGTTTGTAAAAAAACATGTGAACCGAAAACATGTGAACCGAAAACATATGGCCCGATGTCGATGACATGAGACACTGCCCGAAAACATGTGAACCGAAAACATACGGCCCGATGTCGATGACATGAGACATTGCCCGAAAACATGTGAACCGAAAACATACGGCCCGATGTCGATGACATGCATGAGAGATTGCCCGAAAACATGTGAACCGAAAACATACGGCCCGATGTCGATGACATGCATGAGACATTGCCCGAAAACATGTGAACCGAAAACATACGGCCCGAAAACATGAGACATTGCCCGAAAACATCTGTCTTCACCAATTTATATTTTTGTCCCATTCCACCCCTCATAGCTAGGCGTCAGCCATATTTCGTTCTACTACACTTCATTACATGTAACGTGTACTAGCAAAAGACAACACCGCGTAAAAACGTCTGCGCATGCGTTACCATTACTGAAATTTGGCTTGCGTACGTGGTGTAAGTATTCCGAATGTTGTCAAAAACTCAAAATGGAAGCGACAAGGAGCAACTTCGATGTTTTTTCTGTGAAAATGTAACTGGAATAATGAATGTGACAACCTAAAAACTAGAAATAATTACAGTCTACATGTGCAAGAATTAAGTAGTATTATATGCAAGAAGTGAACCAAAGGTGGCTGTGGTTAAATTTATCGTTATATTTTGCGTAGGTTCATATGATCCACATTTTTCTCAAATAACATTTTTTGCGTAGCATGTATAATCTTTGCGTTGACTAATTTAAGGGTAATGATTTACTCTAGAATTTATTCGTATGCAAATGCTTAACTATGATAGTTTTCTTAAGGGACTGGTCATAAAGTAACTACTAGGTGACCCATCTTAGGATGTAGATAAAAATTTCGAAGCCCATCTAATCTTACCATGCAAATTTATTTCATGACCCACCCACCCGATCTAAATTGGGAAAATACACTTTCATAATAAAAAAAAAAAACTTGCAGGTATGAACATTGTAAATATACACCGGCACTGTATTGACATATACAATTCCACCAAGCTTGACCAACACATTCATCACCAATTACGATACTGAGCTGCTCTCCAGTTGGTTGTAGTCGCTGTGATTCGACCACTTCAAAGTACTGGCTTCAATAGCATCATTTGCATTTGATAATTTGGATAGTTTTGTTTACTTTTATTATTAGTATCTTTATGTAATATAAACATGTGTTTTTGTTTGGTGGCCCAACCGTGGACATACAAAAAAATTGGCGGCCCATCGAAACTGCCCAAAGATTTTCCATGGCCCATTCCAAATCATTCCAGCCCACCCTAGCAGTTACTTTATGACCGGTCCCTAACTTTTTTGTCTTAAGTTCGGTATTCGACAATTTTTCAAGAAATTTTCACACGCCTCCCGGTCTAAAACGATAATTTTTAATTTAAATTATGTTTCTTTTTAAATTTTGAATGTTAGAAAACCTTTTATTAATGTCTAAACTACCCGTCTAGTGTATTTTGTTTGTTTGTTGCACTTACGTTAAATAATTAAATAGCCATGTTTTTGTTTACAATTTGGCATTTAAATTGCTCACCATTTTTTCTAGTACACGCGCATGCTCAGACGTTTTTCCGCGGTGTTACACAAGACATATGTTTCACATTATGATAGTTTACCTGGGCAGAATTTTCTAATGAATTTTTCCACAGTGGCTATTAGCTCCTTATAATTTTCAGCAAGAATTGCATTTTCTGGCTTCCGCACCATATCCCTGACTTCAGTAATTCCTTTCTGATCCGACAATCCGACACCAACAGAAAACACATTCAAATAACCACGATCATGGAATGGTTTCATAGCTTCCCCAACATATTTATAACCTATAATCATCACTGAGATATTAGATTCTGAATATGAGATATACAACTTATTTTATACGATACACGCACTGTGAAAAACCTATACTAACCTCTTTTTTTTGATTCCACAGTCTGCTCTCCATCTGTGATAACCATGAAGATTTTTTCAACCTTAGGATCATTTATTCGCAAACCAGCTTCGCTAGTTACGGCTTCTTTATCAGCCACATCTAGACCCTTGTGGGTTTTTGTACGACCACCTGGAAGTGGACCTGGCATGGTTTGTACAACTTGAGCAAACTTCCCAGGTGACTGACTTTCTTTAAGTGAGATTCTCAGAGTACCCTCCTCGCTGAATGTAACAATAGCACCTTGACCAATAACCTCACCGTCTTTATTTCTTTCGCCAATTTTTAATGATTTGCCAATACTAAGTAAGAAATGGCGCATATGTTCGTAGTCATCCCTATTGATACTTGCAGATCTGTCGAGCACAAGGATAAGATCCATCTTTCGACATTGCCCCGCGACAGGAGGAAGCTCTATTATATACAAAAATATTATTTGAAATTAAGGCTAACGTTTTCGTCAAGGAAGACAAAAGATGATGTGACATATTTAATATAATTTAAACAATTAAGGTATCAGTAAAGTTGAACATTATGTTTATTGGAAAATCAAGAAAGTAGGGCGTATAGAACGGCACGTTTCCTTGCCGGGTTGCTAAATGCAAAAATCTGTGATTTCATAGATTGTGCCACCACCATTTTGGCACCAAAATCTCAATACCATGTCAAGTACCATTTCACGTGCACCTCCTCCCAACTCAATTCTACTCAGTAGATGTGGCATGCTTTAGATATTGGGGAAGACCTTTGAGGACAAGGTTTGGTGAGTATCGGCGTGCAGTCATTGGCAATGATGCTAACCAGCCTGTTGCCAGACATTTTAATACTGTCAATCACAATGTTTCAGATATGGAAATTCGAGTCCACTGTCAATTTACGGAAGCAACGATGGCCGCAAAATACATGAAATGCGCCTCACTTCCAAGTTTTTCCCGTTTTTCCCTGACTTTGCCTGTCAAAAGCAGACATTGACAGTGCTTTTAATTCTTACCTTACTCCATACTTGTTTCATATATTTTGTTGTATTTGCTGTAGTTTTCAGTATATTTGTATTAATATGTTCTGTGATGTGATTTACATTTTTTGTTTATACTTTTTTTATTAAATCCATCTGGTTGGTTTATTTTTTGTCACGTGATCGCTTTTATATGTTTAGTATAAAAGCTCATGTAATTTTCCCGACCCCCGCTATAGTAACTCCAGACGAAGAGCCTTCGCTCGAAACGTCGAAATTTTCCTTATATTTTTCAGGTAGTTGCTCCCTACCAACGAAAGCATGTTTATATTATTGGCACTACCTACACTGGCACAGACAGTTCAAGATTATATCAGGTATAAAGAAAATGAGGTTCGGTATTAAGCTAAACATTTTTTCTCTAGATTTTTTCTCTCATATTTTTATATTTTATAGCTGGGCAGTATGTTTCATTTGGTATATTCAGTTCAGATTTTGCTGAAGGTTAAATGGTGAATATATGTCAGTTAGTGGTCATATCAGATGGCGTTTATCACATGTTTTCCAAATTAATTAAGGAAGATATAACGTCGCCTTGCAAATTACAATTTGTAAATGTATAGATGAACAATCGCCAACGAATTAATTTAATCCACAAGATTCCACTGTCGAAAGGAAAATATTAGATGGTATGGCTAATGTGAAGGGTTAAACCAATTGGACAGAATTTTCGTATAGGTACATGCACGCCAGAAAATTTTTAATTTCATATTGGACATCAAGAAAATAGTTGCAGACTCACTTGCACACGTTTTCCCGTCGCCTGTGAAACCTTCATTACAGGAACACAAGTTGGTCCCAGGACCTGTGCTTATACACGTCGCATTACTATGACAGTCGTCTTGACCAGTTTCGCAGACATTGATTGCTGTGAAATAACCAAAGGATGAAAGTTGTAACTTCCAAATTGTAAATTAAAAACCGCGTTTATTTTATTTGCAAAATAAATAAATATGTAAATTTTTAATACAATTAATGCGAATTATATACTGTTCCCTCAAACAGCATTATTTGTGAGGACAATTACAAATATAGGAACTGAATTAAGATTGGACTTTGTAATGGACAGGTCCAATAAAGCTTAGCAGTGGCGTAGCCAGCCCGACGATTTGGTCTCGCTATATGCAAATTTCAACTCATCATTATTCATTTCTTAGTAGAAATTGATTGTGTTGATAGTTTATAAACATGGCAATATTTGCATAGCGAGACTGAATCGTCGGGCTGACTACGCCACTGAAGCTTAGTACTGTAGTATTGTCAATTTTTGTTAATGTATGGCTAAATGGCATTTTTTGTCACGTTTGGCAGATTGAGTCTCTATCCCACCAATTTTTCATGAATTTAATATTTTATTTAGCTGCTAACCTATGCAGGTTTTTCCATCTCCAGTGTATCCTTCGTTACATTTACACGAATATTCCCCGGGACCTGTGTCTGTACATGTGGCATATCTGTGACAATCATCTTGCGGAGTGTTACATATCGGAGCAACTAAAATAAATAATAATAGTTATCATAGTGTATCGTAAAAAGCAAAGTAAATGTCTTGATTAGTTGGTCCATTTAACAATCACATCAATCCTAGTTGATCGTTTAATTAGTCTATTCATTCTCGGTTGACAAACCTCCAATTACGACTTATGAATGACTTGTGTATGTTAATTTGGTGGGATTACTGCATGCAGCAGACTGACAATGGTCAATTTTTTTTAAAATGGATCACCATTAACATGCATCATCCTTCTGACGGATCATGTGTGCGATAGATTACCCGTCGAGATGCATTACCTGGCTGACAGATTATTTGTCTTGGAGTATACTATAAACATTCTAAATCCACACAAGGGAACTATTCAGACGAGATAGCTAGATTAACACGATCTATCCTAGTAATATGAATGTTTTTTATATTTCGTCCAATGCGACTGATCAAGAAATTAAAAGTCACCTTCATTGTCCAAGATACGAACAGTAGCAGGTTTACCAACTTTAACTCCAGGAGTAGATGATGTCAGGAAAACTGTGAATTTTTCCGTATCTTCTAGCACTTGGTCATCAACAAGATCAATGTTGATAGATTTTGGACCAGTTTCGCCTGGCTGGAACGTAATTTCTATTGGCTCGCCAGAATAATCACCCGACCCAGCTGTTACAGGACTCATTTGAAGCCTAAACGTTTACACATAGGCAATACTGTATTTCTTTTTATTACTAAGATGGGAAAACTATTTTATGAACATACATCCAGGTTGTATCCTATGGTTTTACAGGACACAATTTGAAAAAAAAATATGATGTATTTAAACTGGAAAAATTTGGTGAGTATTTTTATTGCGCCGGTTTGTGTTAGTAATTGCTTACGAAAAGATTAGACTTCTCCGAAAACTCGTAAATCTTTATTTCAATAAAAATACAATATTATAAGCCCCCGGCTACACCTCCCCCCTCCCCCAAGAAAAAAAGTTCAGCAATATGCAAAAATTTCTTTCTGCCCCCATAACTTTTTCCTCCCGTACGCCTATGTACAATATTTACATTTAGAATTGTTCTTACCGAACAGTAATTGGGATACTAGATTGTCCCGAGGCAAGTTGTACTTCTACAGTTGCCTTTTCATCTTCTTTCGCCACATACACAGGTTTTGTGAATCCAACCACGACTTCTACAGTTGCACAAAAAAACAAGAATGCAAGTATTAAACTATTGAATACGTTATTCCAATGGAAGGGGAAAATATTTTGCTCTTCTCTTTGCTCCTCTCATTGCTAAATATATAAACAGTGTTGCTTTACTACCCGGAACAACTTCGTGGCTCAATCTTTATGTAGTGGGAACATTCAATGAAGAAAGTAATGACAAATAAAGAATAAAAAGATCCAGAAAAGATAACCGAGATAATGAGGATGGTACAGTATGGTCATGTGATAAGAAAATACAGGGGAATGCATAGGATCAGGAATGGTTGGAAATGATTCGACAGTATAGAAGCTAGCTAGACTACTAACATGGGAAAGACGGATATTATAAGGTAGGGCCGATATTGTCGTAAGTGAACAGGATTCAATTTGTGATTGAAGCTGAATGGGAATTTATAATTGCAAATGACAATTTGAATGAATGACGGGTGAGATGTCCTTGCTTAAATAGTGGCATCGTTTAGCTCATTGTTGGCATCATTATAACACTAGAAAAGAGACTGAATGCCAATGGCATATTTAAATAACACCACACTCCCTTACAGGCCGGGGACTGTTCAAGTATGTCAAGTCAAGTTTTCCTGAGCATTGTCGACCAAATCAAACCAATTACTGCAACTATCAAACTGTAAAAAACAACATAAATACCATCATTATCCAGGATATTCACAGACAAAGGATCTCCCCATGTCACTGCCGGTACTGAAGAGGAAACCACAGCAACTTTGAACTCTTCAGTTGCCTCCACCAAGTTGTCATCAACAATGTCGAATTTAACCGTTCTCGTTCTACCTTTGCCGGGTTCAATGGTTACATTTACTCTTCTTGGAATGTAATCGTCATTCTCTGATGCAGTCACAGGAACGGTCTCCAACCTTTCATTAAATGCGAAAAATTAAAAAAAGACGTTTTACGTTAACCGCCAAAATATTCAACCAATATTGTCTACAACGCAATGAAATATCCAAAGTACTGTATGCCTGCCAGCAGATTGTTTGATCACATTTGCATTTACGTTAACCGCTGGTTTTCTATTATTAAAGACCATGCATACAGTATCTTGCTGACTTGATCCATACGAAATTGTACAAACCTTCATGAAACTGTCCAATACTTATTAAAATATTTCCAAAAATGAAGGATAGGATTAAACTTTATTTTACTTCGCTGGCCACTTCAAATGAAGTTGTTTTTCCAAGTGGCCTGGGGTGTTGATAAACGTAACATCACACAATTTTATGAAGGACAAAATTGTCAGCGATACATTATTACATATATTAAATTAAATACTATTACAAAACAAATGGTAAAATTATCAAGTGGTTAATTCGTCAGAATAATATTAAATAAGCAATACACCTTTAATTTTGAAAGAATTAAAAATTTGCTGTTTCTCACTTGTTCAGATTTTAAATATATGGACACAGCAGAAACAGGGATGAATTAGAACTTTCTAAGCTGCAACTATGATTACAGTTAGAATTCTGAACCGTTGATGCATGAGAGCCTCGTTGGTGCATATTACTGCATAAACTAAGCATGAATTATGAAATCATATTGGCTACACGCCCTTATCAAATTTTAATCCAATTTCAATCAATATTCATTGGCCTATCCCTGTGGTCTTTAGCTCCAAAAACGTTCGCATTAACCGATGTTGGAACACAATCCCTTAATTTGCGCAGGTAACCAAGATAATTTTTTAGAAACTTACGTCACAGTTACAGGATGCGACGCTTGTCCTGAAGAAAATCCAATCTCAATCTCAGCATCTTCACTCTCAATCACATTGTAAGCACTTTTTGTAAAGCCAATAATAGCATCTGAAAATTATAATATTATTATAATACAAAGTTCTATTAGTATGAGAACACGGTTCTATAGAGATATTAAGTTAATAAAAAAACACGAGCGATATTACAATATTTTGAAAAACACAAATGCGATTTTTCATTATTTGTCTAAGGTCATGTGTCATTTCTTTTAATTAATTAATAATTATTAAAGAACAAGTTTTCGTGAAAAATGACATCGACAAATAAATAGCCAGTTTTTCCACATGTTGCAGTACAGTTTTTCCACATGTTGCAGTGCTTAGCCTCCTCAAAATTTTGCCAGACAAACGACGCAGCGGAGGCTAAGCTTTGTTTGAAATCGTTCTGTTTTAAAGGCAGAATCGTGCAAATTTGTGTCCGGTTATGAATTTAATCCTGTCCCGTCTGAATGGAGCCTCAAATCATTGTTAACTTACTTAATAGCATAGTTGCCCGGGTTTCTTTTGTTTCAACAGGGTCGATTACTAACTAATCGCCCGCTGTAGCGGGCGATTAGTTCTAATCGCCCGCTAGAGCGGGCGATTAGAACTAATCACCCGTTACCAAGGGTCACACCTTTGTCTCCCTGACGACTACGCATTAGGCAAGTGCCTCACCGCACATAATCGTGCAAGGAACAGCAACAGTTAGCTCAGAGCCGTCAATAGTCTATCATCCGATCCCTGAGTTGCCGCATCATTTAAATTACGTTCGTGCGGTCTCCAATTTTATACTAATATATTTAGCGTTTTTGTTGTGGTACGTTAAATGATAGATTGCGCATGCGTAACCGATTAAAGCGTAAAAAGTGCGCATGTGCAACAAGCTTTTACATCCCACAAGCAATGAAACAAATGTTTTAGCTTAAATACACTGATTCCAAGTAGGGCATGTTTGTCCATTTTTAAATGGGAGCGCAACTATGCTATTACAAACTAATAGCATGGCTTTTCGGGAGATTAGTGATTAAATGACCCCTTACCCTCGGCAGGTTTGCGGAATTCCCTCGGGCTTCGCCCTCGGGAATTCCGCAAACCTGCCTCGGGTTACGGGGCCATTTAATCACTAATCTCCCTCAAGCCATGCTATTACTTATAATAATATACTGTGCCCTTTTACAAAGGTTTTTTTCCTAGTAAACAGTACTAGTCCTTCCTTGTAGCAAAGAGACGTTACGCGGCTTCGGCCAGCCAGTGACGTGGCCAAGATTTCTAGTCAAAAGGGGGGAGGGGCGAAATCCCAGAGGGGGGGGGGGGGTGCGCTAGTTGGAATAAAGTTTGTCTATTATGTGAAAATGTATTTAGACAGCCATGCTCTCCTATCTATTTTGATGTGTTTTGGTGATTTAAATACGATTTAACCAATAACAACTCTACCTAATCACAAACGAATTTAGAACATTTAAAACATAGGAAGATATAAAATTTATACAATGTTTGTATTGGTCAGAATTTTTCCAAGGGGGGCCTAATATTTTACCGGGGGGAGAGGACAGGACCTTCCTCTTGCTATATCACTGCGGCCAACGTTTAGCCGAGTAATTATGTCTTTTTGCTCTAAGGGAGAACTATTTACCATCATTGTCTTGGAGATGTATATTAACTGAGGTAGGTTCACCCAGCCTGACACCGGGTACAGATGAGGAAACCAGGTTAACTTTAAATTCTTCTGTTGGTTCAACCAAATGATCGTCTATTATCTGTATCGTCATTGATTTGGGTCCAGTTTCTCCTGGTTGAAACGTTATATTTACTGTCCTCGGAACATAATCTTTGTCTCCAGCAGTTAATGGTTCAGTAGTCAGTCTAAAAGTAATATACGAAAATAGGGAATTTCCATTGTCCATAATATTACGATATTGATCAGCTTTCGTAACAGAAAATATTTGGTTCTTACGTTACAGTCACAGGTTCTGTAATATCTCCTGAAGAAAGTTCAACTTCAATAACAGCATCTTCATCTTCTTTCACATCGTAACTTCCTTCCACGAAACTGATTAGTACTTCTGTGAGTCATTAAAGATAAACGAATGAATGCCTCAATTCTCATATTAATGTAAATCACTGCAGCGTTCTCTCCCGTAAACTATGCCTAATCCTTACACTCCTATACCCTTTATCTTAGGCGAACTTAATTTAATTACATTCATTATACTAACTTCACTTTCCTTAATCCTGACTCTAATTCTCGCTCTACGTCCATGCCATCTATATATTTGAGACGTTATGCGTCGGTCAAAGCTTATTTCCACAGTCCTAGCTTAGCTATTACTTTCTAGCTTGATCATAAGCCTTAACCAAAATCCTGAACTAATACTAATGCATGTAAACTGCATGTGTATCATGCATCTCCGAGAATCAAGATGAGGCACAGTTACCGTCGTTATCTAGAATCTTTACATCTGATGTGCCTCCTGCCTTCACAGCGGTAACAGAACTTCTCATTGAGACTTTGAAATCTTCTGTTGGCTCTACCAAAGAATCATCAATTATTCCAATTGAGACTTGCTTTGGTCCTGCTTCTCCTGGTGCAAATGTCACGTTTTTTATTTCCGGAACAAAATCTCTAGCATCAGCTGTGTTTGGGGAAGTTGAGAAACTAAAGAGAAAATTGTTGAGACATTAGTCTTTTGACCAATTTGAACTTAATAGTAACTTAATAGTAACGTAATAGTAACTTAATAGTAACTTAATTAATTTGACCGTAATTTTAGATAGATAATAATTTTGTAATAACTATAACCTGTAAACGGAGTGTAAAATGAAAAACCGCTTTATGGATTTTTCACTCTTTAATAAAATCATTCATTCGTTCGTTCATTCATATTTGTTAAAGACTTGTTAAAATAACAAATATTACACCTTACCGTTTATTGCACTTTTGCGTCAGGGGCCCTGTGTTCCCTGTTCGCCTGTTCTAGAATGGCAGGCGCACTTAAAGATGAATTAAATGTCCTCATGGTTCGTGCACGAATGTATTTCTCTTTGATTTTTACCCTATAATTTCAAGCCTATCGCTCTTGTATGCGAAACACGAGGATTAAAACCCACATGAAAACGAGGTAATTGAGACAAGAGTGCAATAAACCACGGTTAAAATAAACGGTAAGGTCTATTGTCGGTGCAAAACTTAATTGAGACTCAAAGACATGTGTTTTATATAATGCAATTTCGATGACTGGGACCTGCGAGCGAAATTAACTAGAGCTTGCCCCGTGTGGAATTGATCAACTTACCTGAGTTCTAACAGCTTGTACAAGCAAAATAAACAAATTAGGCAAAATGGTTGTTCCTTGTCTTATCATGCAAGGAAAAATGTTTTGTTCGTACCTCACAATCACAGGAATTGCAGTCTTGCCAGAAGCAAGTTCAATTTCAAGCAAAGCATTCCTATCTTCTGGTGTCTCGTAAACACTCTGCCTAAACGCGATGATAGCCTCTATAAATGAAGTTAATAATAGCAGTAGTTATTAGCAAACACGTAAATACGCACAAAATACTTCACAACCTGCTCTATTATACATAATAGAACTCTTGAATTAAAAATGCAATCTGGTTACACTATATTCCACATTTAAGCGAACTATATAATTATTGCAATAATAATAATAATAATGGAAACTTTTTATTAGATATTTACGATATTGAATTGAATTTCAAAAACTCATTAATAATTCAGGAGCAAAACACAAAGAAAAATCATAAGCGTGTCGTGGTTTTATATGTGATAAAAAATCACGTTAATTTACATAAACTTTAGCTTTGACTTTCTCGGTTTAGACAAAGTTTATTTTAAAAATTACTTCGCCAATGAACTCGTATAAGATGAGTCGTTTTTGAAGCTATTTAAAGCACTTGTAGTCGTGTTTTATCACATATAAAACACTCCGCTACGCGTCGTGTTTTATATGTGATAAAACACTCCTACGCGTGCTTAAATAGCACATAAAACTAAAATAGATATACAGGTGAAAATCTTTTAAATTTAGTTGAAAGTTTAAAAGTTCCGGGTTGTTCCAGTCTTTGTTTCGTCTACAGAATATATAATAAGACGTGCATGCGAGTACAAGTAGCAATTATTTTCTTTTTTACATATTTAATACGTTGTTCATCGTACTTCAGACTGATCATGGAGCAAACCAAATAAAGTATTCGTCGATTCACCAAATACACCTAAAGAGCTTATAGATACATTAATATATTTTCTTGATCGGTAATTAGACTTAAAGATTTTTCATGTTTTCGATCTGAGTTAGTTTTCAGGTTTGTTTCGAATCCAACAGTTAATTCAAGAATGTACAAAATCTTATTTTCAATTGTCAATAGAAGGTCTGGTCGTAACTCGTCACCAGTGATGACAGATGGGCTAATAAATCCAGGCAGATCTACATACATTTTGGACCTTTCGACGTCGAGAAGGCTGGACGCAACGAGATTCAAAACTGAATTATGTCGCCATGTATATCTCCCTTCGTTTAGATATGTCTTACATCCAGAGATTACGTGCAAAAGCGATTCAGGGCAGAAGCAGAACGGACAGTCAGCAGATGATGACAGACCCCATTTAACTAGGTTTTTCCTAGTAGGCAAAGAATTGTTGATGTAACGTAGACTGAAGTTAAATATGTTCTTAGGAAGTTTTGAATGAACCGATGACCATAGGGAATTGAATGCCAACGTGGAGTTTTTCACGATGTTTGAGAAAAAAGAACCTTGTGACATTAGGTTATTTTGTAGTCGCTGTTCGTTTTTTTGTCTAAATGCCTTCAATACATCTTTTGCGTTTGAGTAAATGTCGTACTGAATGTTCCTATTGGTGCTTGTTATTGACCATAATTCACGTATGTTTTCATTTATCGATGACTTTAAAGCTGAGCGTGAGACAGTTTGGCACTGTATAAACTTCGTTGAAGGTAGAATGACATTTAAACCAAATTTGTTGTAAGGGAGATAGACATTGCTTAGAGTTGCAGATATTGGCAGTTCGAGCCATTTTCGTATATATTTAGTAGCAATACCGTCCAAAGTCTCGCAAACCCATGTTTGAGATATATCAGTCATTGTGAAGTTCCATGAGATTTTCGAGAGCAAG